TTCTCTATTAGGATGACGATAATTAGATATTCATGTTAGACTTAAATAAACAACGAGAAAAAAATGAAAACCTTTTCAATATTTAAGTGTTTTTTTTTCTATATAATATCAAACATGTAGGATATGTTCCTTTTATTTTTATCATTTCTTTGTTTCCTTTATTATCAAATTAAATATGATATATTTTGGATGGACTGTTGTTAACGGAACAAAAAAGAGAAAACAATTGTTCACACAGATGGTTGCGAGATTTTAGCTCTAGCTAGGTACTCAAGCGACTGGTGATTCAAGGCTTATTTCATCTCGACATCGGGAATTAAAAACCCACTTTTACTCACTCGATCGTAATCTTCAAATTTTGTTTACCGTTTTTCTTAATTCTAATATCTTTATAAACCCACTTTTACTCACTCGATCTTAATCTTCAAACTTTGTTTACCGTTTTTCTTAATTCTAATATCTTTATAAACCCACTTTTACTCACTCGATCTTAATCTTCAAACTTTGTTTACCGTTTTTTTTAATTGTAATATCTATAAAGATTGAATATAGTGATATCTAAAATAAGTAGCTTTTCTTCGCTGAAAGCGTGAGAAACAGATGCTCCTGTACATTTGTTTAAATAGCTTCTGTGTCATTTTCTTTTCAGCATTCTGCTTCATTATTCACCAATTCTGAAGAACGACTTATATTTATTAGCTATTTTTGTATCACATTTGTGTTAGCTAAATCTATCTTTTAATTCTAATAGTCATCAACACGAGAGCTTTCTTTTTATTCAGAACTGTTATCATTTAGCCTATCATTATTACCAATTATTTCTCGGTTCTAGGAAACACAATAAGAGCATCATATATATTATTAAATATATTATTATTATTATTGTTGCTTGGACAGTTTTATTGCTGAATCTCGTTCCTGACTTATGTTTATTAGTCTTTCCTTCAATGAAAAACCTTTTAAAAGCTCACGCGTAAACCTATGATCAACTTAAGAGCGTGGATATGTACGAATTGCTTAGCGAGGAAAATTAACTGTAAAAAACACACATGAGTTGACTGTGGAGTACAAGTGAGAGTTGTGAGTTGACTGCAAATTAAGTGAGCGTTGTGAGTTGATCGCAGATTATACGTGAGCGTTGTGAGTTGACCGTGGATTATACATGAGAGCTGGGAGTTGATAATGGTCATACATGAGCGTTTTAAGTTAATCATAGGCCATTTACAAGTGATTTGAGCTGTCACGGGTTACATATGAACGTTGTGAGTTGTCACGGGTTATACTTGAGCATTGTGAGTTGAGCTTGGGTTACATTTGACCGCTGGGAGTTTATAATGGTCATACATGAGCGTTTTGAGTTAATCATAGGCCATTTATAAGAGATTTGAGCTGTCACGGGTTACATATGAACGTTGCGAGTTGTCACGGGTTACACTTGAGCGTTGTGAAATAATTACTGTATTATTCTCTTGACGGATGAACATGACATATGTTCCAGTAATTTATTACAACTAGACGGATAAATACTATAAACTGAAAAAATAACCCTGTTCTTTAGTTAGAAGAAATCATTATTTACCGAATATTCAAAAAAATTTAAATAATTTTTGTTCTTGTATAACACTAATATCATCGTGTTTTTTCTGTATAACACTAATATCATCGTATAAATTCATTTCTTTTAGATTCAATCATTCCAGAATTTTATTTCAAACTTTCGTATATAAAGATTTAAGATAAAAACAAAGTTACCCTTAAAAAACAAATAGCATATCAGAAAGTAATGTATATTTGACTTCACTGGTGGATCTAAAGAAATAAGCTATTCAATGCATTAATAGATGCACGTGCTTGTGGGGATATGAACATGATTAGGTTTATGTGGGAAAATGAAAGATCTATTCAGTAGAAAAACACGATGATATTAGTGTTATAGAGAAAAAACACGATGATATTAGTGTTATACAGAAAAAACACGATGATATTAGTGTTATACAGAAAAACACGATGATATTAGTGTTATACAGAAAAAACACGATGATATTAGTGTTATACAGAAAAAACACGATGATATTAGTGTTATACAGAAAAAACTGCCTTACATTTTCTCACCTGGCTTCACAGTTTTAGTCGTCCCGAATTTATAAAGGATAAATTAAAGGGAAGATAGCTAGTAAACATCACCAACCGCCAACTCTTGGCTACTTTTTACTAAATATCACATTATAATGCCCTCGCGTCTAAAAGGGCGAGCATGTTCGGATATGGGATTCGAATCCACAACCCACAGATTCTGAGTCAATCGTCCAAACCATCACTATATCCAGCAACACGAAAAAAAACCTTTTAGGGTGCATGTTTTATAATAGCTTTTATGTGTGATTGTGTTTTGTTATTCAGAACATCACTTAAATACGTACATATTAATAATCATCATAAGTTTACTATTGTTAGTAGACAGACAGTGGATATGTACAAAGCTTTTGAGTTAAACTCACTAAACTTAGCCGAAATACTCAATATCAAACCAAATACAAATGCATGTGCACATAAACGAAGCAGCACTTTAAAAAATCTAGTTTTAGGTTTTGAAAGGAGTAAAAGATCAGAACCATTATTATGAGAAATACCTAAATAGGGCAAAGTTTGTTATTGCATTAGGTTTCTGACTTTTTATAACAGATGATGCTTTCAATATATGTTTATGTTGCGTCTGTGATTGATCAATATATAGAAACAAATATCAATAGTTAAATGTAAAATAAATCACGGGTTACAAATGTATCGAAGGTAAATAATCTGTACCCAAGTGAACTATTCTTTACAGCAAAAACCATACTCTCAAAACATACTCTATTTTGTTTCCACGGCGACCGCTGAAGATAAATAAATATAATATAAAGTACATAGAGAATTAATGACTTTAATCAGATCACAGCAAAAATTTCTTTTGTCCAGGACATCAAGTTGTAAAGCTCATCATCATGAAGAGGTTTTGGTCTGAAGAGCACATCCTGTTGAAGAGGTTTTGGTCCAAACTTGGCATTCGCTTTAATGATGTAGCTTTGCTTTAATTAAGTAACTTAAATTAATTACAGCCCCCCCCCCAGTGGCACAGCGGTATGTCTGCGGACTTACAACGCTAGAATTCGGGTTTCGATACCCGTGGTGGGCAGAGCATAGATAGACCATCGTATAGCTTCGCGCTTAATTAAAAACATACAGTCCCACCTGTCCTAAATTTTTCCGACACTCCATATATTTTTAGATAATAAGTCTTTTCGATTCTGCGATTGAAGAAACAAAATTAGTTTGTTAAGTGGAGCCTATGTCTTTTATTTTCCAATAATTTTCTTTCGTGCACGATGTTTTTTGGGAGTCAGTTTTTTCCTGTTCATTATTATTTCTGATATATGTTTATAAAAGTGTACAAATTTCTCCATAAAAAACAAATTCTGCCTATTGACATGTACTAATTTCTTTCTGTAAAAATGTACTAATATGTGTATACAACATATGCTTATCGTTGCTTATAAAAACGCACTTATTTATATGAAAATTGTACTAATTTTTGCCAAAAATACACTAATCAGTCCTATCATATCTTCCATCAGCTATTTCTCCTGCATGTCTATCATTATGAAATTTCAAAGCATTAAATAATAAATTATTCAACATAAAAAGAGCATTATGTCACATTAGATATGAAAACCACTGTTAGGATTAGCGGAGGACTACGGTGCTGATCATATTCACTTATGTCAGTTTTAATATATCACTAGCATAAAATAGTACCGAGTGCAATTACACGTATCTTTTTGGTGTGAAAATTGACTACTGATTTAATTTAATTTTCTCTATTTTTGCTCCAAAATAAAAAAGAAGGTAAAATTATACTTGTTTGAGAGGTTTGACAAAACGTAGACCTTCTCAGACGTGTTTGTTTAAGTTACTACCTAACTGTTCTATTTTGTCAGCTTGTTTTATAGCACACTTATTCCCTATGGCTACATTTTCGAATATCACGTGTCTTACTCTATCCTATCCTTACTATTGCTATGTAATTGGATCTTACTTGCATCTTACTAATAGTTTCACATATTTCTTCTACATTGTGAGACAGAACCGCCAAATTCTAAGCAGTTTTTACCATTTCAGCCAGCGCTAATCTAAAGATGTTTTATGTATCTAGAGTACACTAAGCAGTTAGTTCTGTTTTTATATACCAGTCAGGTTTTTCCTAGTATAGTATTACAGCTTTTAGAAAACAAAATTTTAAGACAAAGCCATGGATACAGACCCCTTGAACATCTCAAATCGACTCTTCTTTTCACAGATTTCTAATACCTCAAAATAGTTAGCATGATTTAACCAATGAGAACAAATGCCTTTTACCGTGACCTTGATTTTTAAGTGTTTTGTTTATTATTTTTGTGTAGTAGTACTTTATTACTGATACAAGATTGTATGATACGTTGCGAATACCATTGAACCGTGGGAGTTATAAACAGAGCACTTTTATAAAGTGATGTAAATGTTACCAAAATTAAAGGATTAATATTAGTTTTTGTGATTATGATGCCTTTCATCCAATTAAATATATGACGTTTAATGAATTGTTTGTTATCTGTAATAATGATTAATATTACTTTATAACATTGGGAGCAAATCATCGCACAAATACTGCTGATGGTGACTAATTATATATACGTGAGGGGTTTTGGGCTTAAAATTCCTTTATTATAAGTTAAATTTCTTAAACGTCATTCATTGGTTGAATTGTGAAGATTTGGTTTTCCTCTTTACTTTTAAGAGCTATTGTTTTGAGATTTGCTTCCAGTTAAAAATTGATCAACACAAACCTAACTGTGTTGGTACTTCAGTTCAACAAGATTAACGTAAGAGACGAGTGAATAATAAGAACGAAGTCATAAAAATTAAAAGATGCTTTTTTTGTAATTTTGATTTATGTTCATACTTGAGTTTTTTATTGTACATAGGATACCCGAACACACGTGGTAGGAGAATTGTACGACACAGAGAAATCTTATGTGGAGTCTCTCCAGATTCTGGTGAATGTAAGTGTTTAGAACCTTCCACAACCATGTGTTGAAGTTGAATTATTGTATAGGCTCATCTAAATTCCACGATTCTCATTTTGTATATAATTACTTTAATCTTCCTGATTTAACATATTTCATTTTCCTATTTTTAATATTCTTATATTGAAGATACTTTTTCTTGTCTTCGTTTCACGTACGCTTAGGGCCGTGTCCTTCCCTCAAAAACATCTGAATTAAGTTCCAAAGCTTTTAATTATTAAAAATATAATTCCAATTCTCATTTCTACTAGATATTCATTGACATTTTCAATCTTTCAGAGTTATTGTAATTAAGTTCAGTTTTTTTTTAAAAGCTAACCTGATCTCCGAGATTTTCTTTAAACATTTATTGGTTAATATATTTTACAAATAGGATGTCACATTTTTGCTTGTTCTGTTTGTTTGTTATGAATTTCGCGCAAAGCTACACGAGGGCTATCCACGCTAGCCGTTCTTAATTTAACAGTGTAAGACTAGAGAGAAGTCAGCTAGTCATCACCACCCACCGCCAACTCTTGGGCTACTCTTTTACCAAGAATAGTGGGATTGGCTGTAACATTATAACATCCTCACGGCTGAAAGGGCGAACATGTTTGGTGTGACGGGGATTCGAACCCGCGATCCTCAGATTGCGAGTCAAGCGCCCTAACCATTTGTATTCTGTTCTTGATATTCCAACATGAGTTATAACCATGTTTCCAACAAAGTTCAGACTGTTTATATTTTGATCTTCTACAGAGAACTATGATTGATGATAAATATATTACTTGTCAACCCCTAATTTAGATTCTAGACTGTTTGGGTCTTAATGTTTCAAACATAATTACGAGTATAACTATTATTGTTCAGACCAAAGTCCAGATAGTTAGCTTTGACGTACCACAGAGAACCACGTGCCTCAATAAATATATGTTTGCATCTCCTAGCCCAGGCGGTTAATCTTGATATTCCAAAGAGTTTGTTTGTGTTTAAGTGCAGAGTTATACAATAGGATATTTGCGCTGTGCCCAACGTAGACATCGTTATAAGCTCTCAAGCTTACTGTTGAGCCACTGAGAGGCTTTTCTAAAGAAAGCCATACATAAGCATGAATATTCTTTTTTCAATCCTAAGCCCAGACGTTAGTCATTGATATTCTAATGAGAGCCATGAGTATTAATGTTCTTTTTCAATTCCAATCTCAGACTGTCCTTTGCGTTAATCTAGGCCTTTCTTACTATTCTTCGTTTAACGATCAAGGTTCTTTAGCTGTGGTTGTTTTTTTCTTTAGTTGTTTGCCAGCAAACATAGGAAAGGTGTCGAGACCTGAAGAAAAGACAAAAAGACGAGTGTAGAAACAAGGCTCGCAGTATGAGGGTATTACATAAGAATGATGGCTATTTATACCATGATGAAGCGCACAAAGCAGCAGAAGTTTCGAGTAGGATACTCTTAGGGTGGTGATGCTCTTCAGAAATTGTATTTACTTAGCGATGCTCTTGAGGGTAAAGAACTCTGACTAAAATGATGCTATTGAGAATTTGTTCTCTCTATAATGATATTCTATAGATATTGCTGTCATTGTATTAACTAGCTTAAAATACCCGCGCTCCTCCACTGCGGGGTTCAAAGGCCCCTTTATGATTTACAGAGACCTTAAATTACCGATCAAGCTCCTTCGTTATCCCAAAATACTTCTATAGCTACCTCGAGGAGGATCCGTACTAAAAAAAAAACACACAACAACACCCGCCTGTGGTACCTGAGCATGTGTGTTTTATGTACGCACTGCACCATAAAATTACATCAAACACTAGCTTCCCATTCCTTACAATAAAAAAAAAACTGTGTTTACGTAACATTAAGAACCATGAAGAAGCTTCATGAAAAAAGCTGTCATAGTTGTAACTCTTGCTTTGGTAAAAGACAAAATATGTGTTCATGCATGGTCTCAAAAGATGTTACATGGCATTGGAAATGATTAACAAATATTGAACAAAACTTGTTTTAATGAGTCATACCAGTTCAGTTCTCTTTAGTTTGTTTAATTTTCTCACCTCACCGGGAAGAAATTGTTTTGCACTTTGTTCTGAAAACAACAACAAGAAACTGTTAAAACAGGAGGTGTTTACTTCTTCCATTTTATAAAAAACTGTTTAAACAGAAGGTGTTTACTCCTTTCATTTCATAAAAAAACTGTTAAAACGGAAGGTGTTTTCTTATTCCATTTTATAAAAAACTGCTAAACAGAAGGTGTTTACTCTTACATTTTATAAAAAAACTGTTAAAACGGAAGGTGTTTTCTTATTCCATTTTATAAAAAAAACTGTTTAACAGAAGGTGTTTACTTCTTCCATTTTATAAAAAACTGTTTAAACAGAAGGTGTTTACTTCTCTCATTTCATAAAAAAACTGTTAAAACGGAAGGTGTTTTCTTATTCCATTTTATAAAAAACTGCTAAACAGAAGGTGTTTACTCTTACATTTTATAAAAAAACTGTTAAAACAGAAGGTGTTTACTTATTACATTTTATATTCTTCGTCAGCAGAATTTATTCACTCAGAGGATGGCCATAAACAAAAAGAACGAAAATTGAACTGCAACATATGGAAACCTTAGATGATAAAAATTAGAGATCTTAATATTCGTATTGTCAGTTGCAATATTTAAATGTTTGTATGTGTATACTGTCTTGATTTGCTTTAAGATATTCTCTGCACTAATATTATACCTAATATATATCGTCACACACTTATTATTCCAAACGGCTATTGTGATTGAAGTACTTTTTTTTTTGTGCACGGCTATTACTGCTAATGACTATATATTTATAGTCTCTGACCCTTTCATTTTCGCTATGAGGGACGCTAGGGACCGTCATTTAGTTCATAGACCTAAAACTTCCTCGAGATGATTGTGTGAATAAGGTGGCTGCTTCATATTGTGATGGGTAAATTTGCATTGGAAAGTTACAGGGGTGGAAAAAGAGAGTGCAGTCACTATAACAATAAATAATAAACAATTCAAAAGATAGGAGTTGTCTTTATCAATGTTGACTGTCGTTATATTGCTTCAATAATAAGTTACAGGGGTGGAAAAAGAGAGTGCACTTACTATAACAATAAATAATAAACAATTCAAAGGATAGGAGTTGTCTTTATCAATGTTGACTGTCGTTATATTGCTTCAATAATAAGTTACAGGGGTGGAAAAAGAGAGTGCACTCACTATAACAATAAATAATAAACAATTCAAAAGATAGGAGTTGTCTTTATCAATGTTGACTGTCGTTAATGCTTCAATAATAATTTTCAGTTAATAGGATGGATTTGTGAAAGAAAAAGTAATTGTGAGCGAGACAGTAAAAATATTCTACATACCTGTCTTCCCTAACTCATATATATATCAGTCTTTACCTGAAGAAATGAGTACTTCCCTTACACAATATATAAGTACGTCACCTTTGGGTCTGTTTTAAATACAAAATAACTTTATGGAAAGCTTTTGTTCGTAAACTGTTATAAAGTATTTTAACGAATTTGTAATTTTTCTTAACTAACTTTTTAACCATGGTTTTATCCTAAAATAGCTTCCACGTGAATTCAAAATTGCGTTAGCATAGCGTTTAGATATTATCATTTTAAACAAAGTTTAATGCCAATTTTTTTGCTTTGTTTAGCGTAAAGCTACACAATGGCTATATGCTGCGCTCTGCGATGAATCGAACTCCGGATTATAGCACTGTAAGTCCGTAAACTTACCGCTGTTCCACTGGGGGGACGTTGCCAAAAGCAATCAGAGTGATGTACTGCTAAAAATAATCAGGGTGATGTAATGTTAAAAGTAATCTTGGTGATGTAATGCGAAAAGTAATCATGGTGATGTAATGTTAAAAGTAATCATGCGCTTAATATTGCACCTTATCATCATTATGGAAAAAAAAAAGTGGAAACAGAGGCAAGATCATTTTGACATGAGTAAAGAGGGTCTTTACAAAAGAGGTAAATGAATATATCTTCCATAAACTATTCAGTAAAGTTACATGTAATTTTTTGGTTTAAAAACTACATTCGAAACTGTTTTACCTTGATAAAATCATTTAAAAATCAAACAATATTCCCTCTTAATAGCAAGTAATTTGCTGTTACCTTTATCTTGTTATGACAGAAAAAGCAAAATATTTTAGAATCTTATCTTGGGAGCAAGTAACTCAATTCATAATTTTTACTTTTTGCTAATTCGTTCAAGAAATTTACAATCCTGACGGACTAAAATTAATTGCAATGTTTGTTTGTTTAAGAAATTTCACTCGAGGGTACTAAAGGACTGTCCGCATTGTCATGTCTAATTTTAAGCTTATAAACTAGAGATAAGGCAGTTAGTAGCAGTACCCACCGCCATCTTTTAGGCTACTGATGTCTAACCAAATGTATAGTTTAACCGTTACTCTAATAATAGTGTACCTACGGCCCGAAAGAGCGGAGTGCGTTTTTTGCTGCAACAAGACACTAACCGCGAACCTTAGGATTCATAGTCTAATCATTAGACCACCCACACTCACTTTTAAATCCACTGTAAATTTGTGTGCAATAATATACCTTTTGTAAATGAACGATGTGTTGTATGTATGTAGTTTTGGAAATACACATGTGCAGGTTTTCATCGAATTTACATTGAGCACCTGAGTGATGTATTCAGAACGCACAGGCATAAAGTAAGCTAATTACGGCAGAACAAACATGTCACTAGAAATGATGTTTTCAGGCTGTTTTTTTTATGAAAGAAAAGGTGATGTATAGAAAAAAAAAATGGAGCATGTTTAACTTGGAATTATGTTAGTTTTAATAAAAAAATAGGCAAGCTGTAATACTGACAAATATAAGTAAGAACCTTTTTATATTTACCTGCTGTTTTTGTGCTACATTGACTGTTTCTTATAGTTTGTGCTTGTTTGTTTTTTGAATTTCGCGCAAAGCTACACGAGGGCTATCTGCGC